GGGGGGTGGGGGTAGGGGGCCCGAGAATGCAAGCCGAGCTTGTGGGCGTGAAAACCCCCGGGGCCTGGCATTCTCCCTAAAAAACGACCCCCCCCACTTCAGTTTCTGCCCCCACTGCTCAAGGTTCCCCACGGGCTGCCCCTTTCCTTGCTTCATCGGTTCCACCCCATCACCTACGTGGTCAGCTCCCAGACGCCAGACCGCTGGTATCTATTATTTTTATTATTATTAAAATTTGAGGGCTTTTCTGCTGCATGTCTTTTACCCAAATTTGTGAGTGGAGGCGCAACCTCTCCAGAGGCCCACTCTCGCTCCCCATACGCGGACGGAGGACTTTGGGGCTCAGCGCAACCCCATACCTGTAGGGACTTTTTAAATGCCCTGAACTCACCGCTCCCAACACACACACACACCAAATACGGCCAGACCAGAGTAACCAGGAAACTGCCTGTCATTCGTTCTGTCGCCTGTGCGGAGTCCTATGCCGGGTAACGAAATATGGACAATATTTACAGGTCCCTGGGCTCGCTGAGAGGAGGAAATGGGTGGTCAGAAGTGAAAGGAGGAGAGAGTGGGAGCGAAGGACTCCTAACAGCCCCAGCACAGGCAAGGGCGAACCCCGTGGAGCGTCGCCGGACGCCCCAGGATTGGTTACAGGGAACGAACGCGAGGTGCCGCCTGATTCATCCTAGAGGGCTCCGTGGCTGCTGTGTGAGCGCTCTTTACTTGTACGTGTGTCTGATGAGGTATGGGCATGCTTCCCACATCTCTACTGCTCACCGGGAGCCTCAGAACCAGACTCCTTACGGAAGTCCTCACGAAGAGCGATCTCAGCCACTTTGCTGCCCCGGACAACTGGCCCACACATTCCTGCAGGTCTCTTCAGGCCCTGGTTCAGGGCGGATCTCCTCCTCGCATGATCTGACACCAGGGCGACAAGAAAGGGAATATTCTAGATACTGACGGCAAGCTTTAGCCAAGAATGTGCCCGTGCCCTTCGTGTTATTTATCTATCTCCACGATCCCTGCGGGCTGGTTGGAGCAGGCCATTTTACGGATGAAGAAACTGAGGCTCTGAGAGGCGATGAATCTGAATGTTTTCTCTGCCCTCCATCTCAACGGGGCCATCAGGATCCGATGGACATCTGGGGAGGAAGTGGCTTCCCTGGCTGCGATCAGATGTGAACCATCAGGCCCAGATCGGTCACCTTAAGAGACAGCTTCCCCCACACCCACCTTCAAGTTTCCGGCCTTTGCTCTCTGTAATTTGCCCCCACCCGCCCTCAGAGACAGCTCTTTGAAGTGCATTTTAATCCGAGTCCACTCGCTGTAAAAATCTTTTGAGGTGGGGATGAGTTGGCAGACAGCAGAATTTGTTTCCACACTGGAAGGCACTGCTTGGCACACCCAACCCACGCCCCTGAAGGGGCGTGAAAGGGAGGGTGCTGCCTCAGCCTCTGTGAAGAGCCAGGGACTTAATTTATTGGCTTCCCACTTGCTCACACAGCCACCCTCTCACAAAAGGGAAGTCCTAGTAGTCCCCATTTTGCAAAGGAGGAAGCCAGCTGGGGCGCCAAAAGACAGAAAGCTCACCCTAGATGCCACAGTGTGGGCGTGGGGTTGCTGTTGGAGCTCAGGCTGAAAAGAGAAGGTCCCAAGAACCCCCACAACATGAAGTGAACACGTGCCAAGAAAAGCTTGTAGGCTGAAGAGGGGCGAAGAGAGTAAAACGGTGTCTCTAACACTTGATCACCAGAACTGGCTTTCCCTCCAGAACTCCTCCTCTCTCTCCCAAGTGGCCCCTTGGGGTCCCCCAAAAGCTGCTGTCAGAGACAGATTCTAGGGCAGCTACATTGGTGGTGGGGGTGGGGGGGGAGTGAAGTCCATCTATCACTCGCTGGGGAGTTCCTGGACTGTCAGAAGGGGAAGGGGGGTTGAATCATCAGCCAATTTAAAGCCCCTCCCTTTACAAAGCTCAAGGAAGCCCGGACCCAGGAGAAGAATGGGCCTGCTGGGGGCTTGTTCCCCTGTCCCTCCCCCAGAATGCCTGCCCGGCTGCCCGGTCCTAAGTCGTCACTCAATAAATGTTGGGCCTGTGATGGATTACCTTCCCCACCGATATTTGCATTTTCCCTTTATCAGTAATTGGCAGATGAAAGGCTTTGTCCACTGCCTGAAAGAATTCCAGGCATTTGCTTGAAGGTGGGGGAGGTTATTTTGGGCCAAAGGGGGAAGGGCCAAGACCCTGGAGCAGGCTGTGGAGGCTAATTGTCCCCAGAGAGTGGATCCATGTGAGGAACTGGGGCGGGAACTAAGATGCTGATTCCAGAGAGGTCCTTTTGGCCTTCAGGAAAGCACCAGGGGTATTCCACACGGTATCATAATGATGCCGCCGCCGGGATCCTCCACCTCAGTTGTACACATGGCCCAGTCAGATTCAGTCACCCCCCTGGTCATGCATGTCTTTATTCACTGAGAGATCAGAGAAGCAGAGGAAAGATAGAACAAATAGTCCCTGTCTCAGACAGACTTCCAGGAAGGACAGGGAGGTAGAAGACTAGCCACTTCCCAAGAGAAAACACACACACACACACACACACACACTTTAACCCCTCCATAACCACCATTTGGGGCTTTGAAATTCTGGGCGATATACCATATGTTTTCAATCATAAAAGTCCTAAACCAGCAGAGAAAAATTGTTTTTGAGTTTAATCTGGATTTTCAGACAATTATGTAAGACATTTATGTCCCATGCAGACTGGCGCAGTCAGGTGCTCACCAGGCAGCAAGCAGCATGCACTACAAGTGAGATAGGAGCTTCCCAGGAAACTGGAGAGACTGAAAGTGTTGGTGGGCCACATATGTCCCATGGATCACAAAAGTTAAGGTTAACTCAGCCTTGAGCCTATGTTTTCCAAATTGTTAGAAACTGAACACTGATTCCCACAGAGCTGTTCTCACACTCTGAGCGCCGATTATGAGATAATAAGTTATAATTTGGGGGGAGGGGACAGGTATGGACCATCTATTAGCAAAACCCCTCACATTGGTTAGCTCAGAGCCTTCACAAAACTCCACTAGGGAGGGGTTGTCATTCCCCATTTTTTTAAATCATTTTATTAGGGGCGCATACAACTCATCACAATCCATACATACATCAATTGTGTAAAGCACATTTGTACATTCATTGCCCTC